TATTTTTTTTCATTTGTTTTTGCTTGTCTTTTTCCGTTTTTTTTTTATTTTTAATTTTTTCTATTTTATTTTTTGTTTTTGTATTTTTGTTTTTGGTTTTGGTTTTGCATTTTTGCTCATTTACAAAGCAAATCACGCGACTGCGAGTTGCCCCCGTCGCAGATGTCGTCAAGAGTTCAGACGGCAAAAACAATGCTAAAAGAAGATTGTTGTTACTGTTGTTGTTGTTGCTGTTGCTGCTGCTGTTGTTGTTGCTGGCTAATTTTAAATGCGCTGATAAGTTGCACAAATATTCTAAGGATGTGTGTCTCGTGGCCGAGCAGTGGAAGGTGGCAGCCGAGCGGTGGGTGTGGGCTCTAGTTAGCTGATGACGTTGCTGCTGCTGCTGCTGCTGCTGCTGCTGCTGATGATGATGATGATGATCGCTGCAGCTGCAATGAATGAGACAGCAGCACGCGACTCATTGCTCAAGCGATCATAGAAGGAAAGCACTTTGTAGCTCGGTAGAGCAAAAAGCTCCCAGTGGAACGTAAGCAGAGGACAGAGCCTTAAACTAGCTAAAAAAGGGTATGCATTTATAAGGCGTTACCCACAGGTTGAGAGTGGCAATACCCCTTAAAAAAATCCATCTGAAAGCAGCTAGTGATTTTACTTTACTTTACTCTGCTTCAACTTGCCCAAAAAAAGGCTATAAAAAAGCTAAAAAATCGACCTGTAATAGCACTAAAGATATGAATATATTTGCAATTATTCTCTATATATAGTGTACTTGTGGCTATCAGTGATGCGCCAGCAGCAGACGGCCGGACGGTCATGGCAGACTAACGGATAATTGTAAACGAGGGGCAGAGCTAACGGTTTGTGCCAATTGAATGGCCGGAAAATGTAGCTGAAACCAGAACGAAGGCGATTTCTCGATTGATTTGCATTCATTCCCGCTAATTTCGGCCAAAAAAAAAAAACTACAAAACAAATAAAAAGGCCAGCTCACACACCCACTCTGTCTCCCTCTCTTCCTCGCTTGCTCTCTCACTCGAACGGAAATGCGCAACAGGCAAAAAAAAAAAAAAAGAAAAAAAAAGCCAGCCCACGAAGCTGTGAAGCGTAGCTGTATCTTATTTGCCTACGCTGCAGCCGAAATACAACAGCAACAACAACAAAAAAGTCAAATTAATTAACACACACACACACACACACACACACACAGAGAGACATTCACACACTCACACACACCTTGTGCCTTGGCTCTTTTCTAGCTAGAGCTGGCTTCTCCTTGGGCTGGGTGGGCGAGCCGCACAGCCCCAGCGCGTTCGTAACCGAAATTCGACTTCGAATTCGAGCTCGAAAAACAGAAACAACAACAACAACAACAGCAAACACAGAAAACAAACTCTCTGCTGCAATTTGACACCTTGTGGGCATTAAGTGCTTCCTCTGCCCACACGCGACTTCAGCGAATTGCGACGCAGTCGCTGCCGCTGCTGCTGCTGCTGCCGCTGCTGGCGACTGACGGCGATTTGGCGATTGCGGCGAAACTGGCGACGCCTCGTCTCCAAGCCAAAAAAGGCTGCAATTGGTTGCTGTCGTTGTTGTTGTTGTTGCTGTTGTCGCTGCCGGCAACAAATTGGTTGCATTTCGTTTTCGACTGCCTGACATGCAACTGACAGTGACGTCGACGGCAACGCCGACGCCGACGCTGACGCCAGCTGTTGGCTCAGTCGTGTTGTATATTTTTTTTTTTGGGTCCCTGTCGCCCGACAGCCACAAATTTAGCCTGAAGAAAGCAACAAAAGCCGAAACTTAAACACTCTAAGCAGCTTAGCGAAAACTAGCTATTTTTTAGCCAGCTTTACGGCCAAGATATATAGCTCTAACTTTGTATAAATTACGGGCAAACTTTAAGCTAGTTTTTTCTTTTCTCGAGAAGGCATTGCAACTGAAGGGAAACTTTAGGCAGTTAGTTAAAACAAAATATTTATACGTTTTTGTTTAGTTTTTCTTTTTAGCTATATATAAATTCATGGAATGACAGCTTCAGAAGTTATGAACCCTTTTCTTTAGCTCTATAAGTTTTCCCAATTTTATTATATTTTTCTCAACTTTTTCTTGTCCTCTTTACGTATATTCAGCTTCAGATCTACCCTGACTATATAAGCTGCAGCTGTTTTTAGCTCTTTTCTTAGCTTTCTCTAAAGCTGTTTTTAGCAGTTCTTTCTTTCTCTGTCTTCAACTTCATATACCGCTATCTCTGTCTATCTCTGCCTCAACTCCCGCATAACTAAACTCTGTTCAATTTCGTTTAGCCTTTTTTCAGACCCTATATTATAAAAGCGCGAAAAAAAAAAAACTTTCAGCCTAAGCCAGTCACATATGTATGTATTTCCTCTGCAAATGCGGGTATCTTAAGTCTGCAAAAAAAGGCTAAAAAAAAGCAGATTTGGCGTCTGGCAGACGGCGCGTCGTGGCTGTTGGCTGTTGGGACTTAACGTGTTTCGTTTTTATTTTGTTTTTGGCTTTTTTTTTTCATGTGCTTCGCATTCGTATTCGTTTTTCGTTAAAGATCATGGATATGTTTGCCGAGATGCCAAACGGCATCGCGTTCGCCCGCCCTCTCCCTTGCTCGCGCTCCCTTCTCGGCGTCTTTGTCTGTCGTTGTCTCGTTTGCTGCTTTACGTAGGCACATCTTGATTTTCGTTGTTGTTGCTGTTGTTGTTGTTGTCTTTTACACGCATTCATTAAAAATAAGTTAACAACTTTTTAACACCTAACTGGGCGGCAGACAGTTGAATAAATGAATTATGCTGACGAATGGCGAATGCTGTGTGTGAAAGAGACAGAGAGACAGAGACAGACAAACAGACAGACAGACAGAGAGACAGACAGAGAGAGACTGAAGAGGTAGCTTAGCTGCTGTAGGCAACGTCGTAGGCAGCCCCACCGTCCGGTCTTTCAAAGGGGGCCAGCAGCCGCAGCAGCAGCGCTTGTTAATCAGCTAAATTAAATGCGAAATGAACAAAACGAATTGGTAGTTAGTAGTAGGCTCCCCCCTACCGCAGCAACCCCTTGCGGACCCACGAAGACGGAAAAAAAAAACGTGCGTGGTTTTTGATGTTTGATTAGCCCAATCTGTTGGCGGCGGCGCCGTCGCTTGCCGCACTTACCTCTAGCCAAAAAGAAGGCTAAAAGAGAACAGCTAAAATTTGGTGTGCGTGTTCGTGTGTGTGTGTGAGAGAGTGTGTGTATGCGTTTGATTTTCATTCATTAAAAAAAATCATGTTTAGTGTGTTGGTGGGATTTGCCGTTGAACGAATTTGTAGTCAATCGAAAGGTGGCTACAACTCCACTACTACGCTATAGTGTCCATATATACATATATATATACGTATGCATAACGACTAAATTATGCTGAGCTTTTAATTAGCACTCGGTAAACTCTATCTGGAGTGGGCGCTATGCTGGCCCATTGATAGATATTGTTGCTGTTGCTGTTGCCCAAGTTGATGTCTTATGTTGGCCCATTGCACTGTGCATAAACATTTAATGAGCTGAGCCAACACCAGACAAATTATTTGATTTGTACAACCTATTTTTCTATAATTAGCTTTACGTAAATGTCGTGGGATTTGGATAAAATTTTATGCACTCAAAGGCGGCGCTGCAATATGCAGCCTCGCATGGCATTTTCGAAAAGTGTTTCAAATATCACCGAGTAAACCTAATTTTAAATTTCTAGCATTATGTCCACGACATGCGATTTGATTTAGATTTTCTACACCTAACAGGGCCTACAATATATGCAGTTTTGTCAAATAAAATCTGGGCATATTAAACAAAATCAAGAGTTTACATTCATTTAAAGATTTGAGTTCAAGTTGAAATACGATCACACTTGATAACATTTTAGCTATAATTAAATAAGGTTTAAATCTAAATTTTAAGTTGAGCTAAGATGAATTAGTTTACTATAAATGAATGGACTTTGTTTCAATTGGGCGGATTTGACAATGGTCAAACGACAGCGGATTTTGATGAGGGCTGACCAAAATTAAAGAGTCCAATAAACTAGATACGATGCAAAAAGAATTTATAGAATTATAATGTTGGCTCACCGGCTTCTATCAAAATTGTATTGTAATGATTGCACGTGAGTTTTAACATGAAGAATAACATGAACATTGCCGACGGACGGCAATCGCTATGCATTTTTGCATTGTAAGACGATAAACGGCTCAAAGTCGTTGCAATAAAAAACCGCAAACTGTTTTTAATTGAAAAACAGAAGAAGCAAACAACATGGAGAGAGAGAGAGAGATTGATAGAGAGAGCGAGATGGGGAGCGTGGGCAAAACAAAAGGAAAATGAGAAAAACTTTATATAGAAACAGGAAATGCGGCTAATCAAGCGTAAGAATCGTAACAGCAGCCACGGCTAACAAAACTGCGTCTGATCCATAAAAATATACATAAATATATACAAATATATATAGAGAGACAGATCTATATATGTCTATCTATATATATTGTATATTGTATATTGTGTGTGAGCTGCTAAGCAGCTTAGCCCATGACAAAGGCCCAAACATTGAGGACGCCTCGGTGTCTGGGCCTAGCAGGCAGCGGGCAGGCAGCAAACAGTCGGAAGGGAATTCCCATTTTCCGGATTAACAGGCGGGCATAAAAAATCGTGAAAAACCCAAAGGAGCGAGCACGTTGCCGGCTTAAGGGTGCGAGCCGGCTAACTCTACCTGCTGTCCCAGCGGAAAACCCGAAAGCCGACCAAAAAAAAAAAAAACACATACAACATGTTTATGGCCAGCTGATGGACGGGGCGTATGCGCAATGTTAGATTGGCTACGAATTAACTTGACCATATACGATATGATGTGACATTATATATGATATGATGGCTGTACTTGAACTTGGATTGGATATGATCTAACTTCGATGTGAGGTAATGCGATACGATACGATACTATGTATGATGGTTATAGTTGGACTTACCTGCTGGTCTATTGGAGCGTCTGGCCGTATCGGCCTCCTCGAACATTAAGGGGGCGTGGCGTCGCGCCTGCACCGGCTGGAGCCAACAGCTGTTGAGGCTGGCAACGCAGACGAGCAAAGCGAGCAGCAGCAGGTGTTGCAATCTTCTCTGATAATAATATGTGGCGTTGTTTGTGTTGCTGCTGCTGCTGCTGTTGCTGCTGCTGTTGCAGTTGCTGCTGCTGCTGCTGCTGCTGATGTTGCAACAGTTGCTGCAACTATTGTTGGCATGCCTCTCCAGCGTTTGGACCGTGCCTGTGGCCGTGGCCAAGGCTGTCGCTATATTCGTTTGATTGTTGTTCATTTTCGTAGATTGTTTTATACTTTAGTTTCCTTCGCTTCTTCTTCTTCTTTTTCAATTCAAGTTAAAAAAAAAACTTTTTGTTCACACACACTTTTCTTACTTCAAGTTGGTTTTTTAAGGTTGTCAAATAAACGTAAACAGAAAAAAAAAACTTTTAATATATATAAAGACCGACCGTACCGATTTTTCTTTTACATATATATATATAGATATATATACTTTATTTGAATGCCGTTTTTTTCTCTTTTTTGTTTTATAGATTAGATAACACACGCGTTTTTCTTCTTGTTGTTGCAAATTTGTTGCAAACACCTAGTTTAGGTTAAGGTTTTAAGGTGTTTCGTTAGCTTCTTCTTTTGCTTTGATTTTAATTTTGATTTTGATTTTGATTCTACTGTAGTTTTAAGCAATTTGATTTTTGTTCGCACAGTTTTTGCAATGAAAATTCGGTGATTGCAATTGAAATTGACTCAAGCTCTGTTTTTGCACATTTTCGTTGCCCAAATACAAATACAGGCGTTGAACAACAAAAAGGAGAGAAAAGAGTTGTTGCTTCAATTTGTTGCTAGGTTGTGTTGTTAATGTGTTGCTGTTGTCGGCGAGTCGGCGAGTTTTTATCTACTAGATAGCTCACGGGGCGCACACGCCGTGTATATGGGCTCTGGCTGCTGCGCCGCTGCTGGCTCGCTGCGAGACTCTGTGTGTGTGTGTGTGTAAGTGTGCGATGACGACGACGTACGTGCGTGTGTGTGTGTGTCTCGGTGAGTGTTTGTGTATGTTGTGCGGTTACGATCGTTTCAGAAAATAATGTCCACACGGTATCGGTCGGTGGAATAAATAAACTAAAACCCAACAAGCGAAAACGATGACAGCAGCGACTGCGACAGCGACAGCGACGCTGGCAGCGGCAGAGCGCAGAGCGCCGAGAGTGCACGATCTGAGAACGAGCGCAGGCGAGAGCGAGAGAGAGAGAACGAGAGCGACGTGCGCATAAGCAGCGCAGACAGCCAGGCAGGCACGCAGCCAAAGAGTTGAGTGCAAAGAACGAGAGCGCGCCTGAGAGAGAGTTGCGCACCGTGAGAGAGAGCAACAAAGTTGCTGCTGCTGCTGCTGTCGTCGTCGTCGTCGTATTTGGAGGTTGTTGTTGCTGTCGTGATTCGTATTTGCGCATTCGTGCGGCGCTCGGCTGTTGTCGTCGTCGTCGTCTTTTGGCAGCAGCAGCAGCAGCAGCGCAATTTTCTTTTGCTGCTATTCTTGTTGTTGTTGTTGCTGTTGCTATTGTTTGCAAAGCCTGCGCCTGCTGCTGCTGTTGCTGCCGAGTCGCGTGTCGCCGAGATGTTTGCCCGATGACGAACGATGCAAAGTTGAATGAGCGCCGCAGCGCTGCCAGCCCAGCAACAGCAGCGCATGCGTGCGTGCGTGCTAGCTGGCTGGCTGGCATATCCCACTCCATCCCCCTGCTAAGCAACATGTAGCCGATACATTGAGCTGCTGCAACATGCTGCCAGCCGCTCGCCCCGCGCTTGAGCAATCAACCACCTGACCGACCGACTGCCTACCTACCTACCTAGCCGCTGCTTGTGCAAATTGCGTTGACTGCGCGTGGGCGTGAGCGAGGGAAGGTGAACATAATGTGGGCTGCGGCCATGCCCATGCATTGCGCATCCTTTTTGAGCCAATCGCAGGCTAGCAACATTTGCCGAACTGCAGCAACAACAAAACGAATAAACGAATAAAGGGATGTGGGAGAGGGAGAATTGCGCACCTACGCCTTCCCATCAACATTACTCTCCCTACGTGCATGAGTGTGAGTGAGAGCGTCTATGCTTAGTTATTATGATAAGATTAGTTAGTATAATACAGCGCAATAGAGAGAAATAGAGAGAGAGAGAGAGAGCGGGGGAATAATTTCTCTTGCTGTATTGTTTAGTTTTTAGTCTAAGATCTAGGCTCGATAGACCGATCACCCGCTTACCCGTTTACCCGATTACCCAGTTAGCATTTTAGTTTGTTTACCTTTTTGCTGCTATCATATTACGAGGGTCGGGGCTTCGTATCATATCTATGACATTATATATGTATGTACTATATATGGAGCATTCAGCAGTTGATATAGTTGCTGCTAACAGTATTATACCGTTACAGTGAACATTCTGCGCAGTTTATTTTTGCTTAAATACAAATAAATATGAATAATCCAAAATTAATTGGTTTGTATTTATAAAATTTCTCAAATATTTCATTTTCAAGTGCTTCGCAAATGAAAAACAATTTCGAAAATGGCAAAAATACTTGAAAATATAAATCCTTAGCAAGAACTTTTGGAATGTAAAAAAAAAAAATTTTTATTTCTTGAACTTTCTTATATATGTAAATTATGAGCTCGGCTGGAATATTGAAGAAGAAAATTAAAATATATAAATTTCTTAATTATAGTAATTTATGGTAAATATATTTTAATCACTTTTATTTCAGAATCTAGAATCTCCTCAAGTCTATGACAAAACTAAAACTTAGAGCGATTCCAATTCGCTATGAGTAATATTTGCTCTATTTGAATTTAAAAATATTTATGTATATATCTCGTATCATTATTCATTTCTTCAAATTGCTATTTGCTTCAAAATGTTCAATAAAATATTTGTACATTTGATTTCGAATTTGGAATTGCATTTGGTTTTGCTCTAGAGGAAGGAGCTCTGCTTCACTGGCTCTGCTACTGACTGCGACGCTGGCTGCGACGTCAGCGTTGACGTCGCTAGCTAAAACTACATAAATCAAAGGAAAAGCATTTTTCTTTGCCATTTGGCGGGCGTCTAGAAAGCTTTTCCCACTTTTGTTGTTGTTCTTGTTGATTGTTGATTGCTGTTTGTTCTTGTTGTTGTCGTTGTTGTTGTTGTTGTTGTTGTTGTTGTTGCTTTTGTATTAGCATTTTGTACGCATGTTTCAGACATTTTAACATTTCTTTTCATATAGACAAGAGACAGATATCGCACTTATACAAACATGTGAATATATATATGTACATATGTGAATATATATAACTACGCCGATTTATATTGTTGTTTTTTATTTATTTTGTTCTTTTTGCGGCGGGCCGTGAGGCCAAAACATTTATAGGAATATTTCAAATCGCAGACACAACGCTGACGCCGACGTCGCTGCTGCTGCGAGCAGCGCATTAAATGAGGCTGACAACAAAAACAAGAACAAACAATAGCTGAAAATTTCTCACATTGGAAAACAACGAAAAAACGTTCACCAAAAATTTTATGAAATGGAAATGCCGCATACAAACAGAAAAATACTACGAAAAATTGCGTGAATATGTTTGATCGACACTGAAATACCCTATCTATACTATAGTCGATCAAAAATATTCCAATTTACTTGTAACTTGAGCAGTTTTTGTGAGCACTTGAGTTTCCTCTTTATAACACTCAATCAATTGCTGTCTATGATTATTTTCATTATATATGTATGTCATATGTAAGAAATAGAGCAAGAGTTGTGTAGTTCTACCAGATATCAGTTCCTTAGCTTCAAACAGACTTGACTTTCGAGCGAACTTAGCAAAGAATATCATGATGTAGCATGCCGATTATTCTGATTTTATAATATATTACAGCTACAGCATAAATAAATAGCTCTACCACATTTCAGCGCTGTAAATTCACTAAGTTTCGAGTTCCTTGAGGACAATTTCTTTATTTGCTGTTTTATGAACTGTATGGCTAAACGTATGGGAACAGCAAATGTTAGGGTATCTGTGGATTATGTCTGGCTGTTGCCATCTGCCTATTTTCGTGCATATTATTTCATAATTTTACTCTGCATTCCGTTCGAGTTTTTTTCTGTTTTTTATTTCTGTTTATTTATTTATTTAGTTGTCAACTTTTTGTGGGTTTATTTTGTATTTTTATTAGTGCTTCAACTATTTTAATTTGTTTTATTTTTGCTTTAAGAGTGACAGAAATGATTGTTAACGATATCGCGAGATTTTATGACCCAACGCCTGGCGCTACGGGCGGGAATAAATTTGTTGTTGTTGATAATGAAATTGACATGGGAATTGAAGAATCAAAAGCAAAGTAAATGCCACCACCACAAAGAGCCACTCTTTCTCTCTTTCTCTCTCTCTCTCTCTCTCTGCCTATGTATGTGTCTCTGTCTTTGTCTCTTTCATCCTCTGTGCCTGCTCGTCACTCGTCAGCTTTAGCATATTTTTCCTTCGAAATACGCGCACAAATATTTTCCATTATTTATTACTAATACTTAATATATTTGCGAACATTTTGTTTTAATTGCGCTCACACGTGCCCCATACCCACGGCAACCGCCCCCTCGTCCACCAGCTCGGACATTCAAATATCCAACAGTTAAATAAACTACAAGACACAACAAAAAATCAGCTTTAAAATGATATATCGACGGCCATAAAGGGATTTGTCGCCAGCCCCCGAGACAAACATCGAAATGACAACAACAACAAGACAAGACAAGACAAGTAACATCATTGCAGCAGGGCACAGCCGACTGAATAATACCCGCTCAAGGTTCCAGCATATAGTTGCATCTCGCTCTCTCTACAGTAGCACTTTTATTTCCTAATTCCATGTCTGTAGAGCCTAGTTCGGACAACTGGACACTGACAAAATTAATGTATTCACGTTTCCTATGCCAATTATTTGCACTACCTTTGCAGTAAACAAATATACCCGTTTCGTTTCACCTCATGAACGAGCAACCCACAAAAATATAAAGAAGAAAATCTAAGGAAAAGTCACACAAGAATTTTTGTTTAATATTTCTTTCAAGAGCGAAAGCGTTTCGTGTGCTTAGAACTGGTTGAATGATTAATCTTGTGTTTTAGTCATTGCTTGAATACATTTTTTATCTAGCACTATCCCCATCTCAGACCCAGTAGCTCGCTCTCTCTCTCTTCCTCTCTCAACGTCTCTTTCACATTTCTAGCTAAGAGTTAATTAATCGCATCATCAATATCAATTGGCAGCTTTTCCAGACATGACTTGCATGAAAAACAAGCTCAACTCTCTCCCTCTCTCTCTCTCTCTCTCTCTTTCTTTCATCTTGTCTCTTTCGTATTACCTGTTGTTAAGTTCATGAAATTGAATGTCGTTGTGCTCTAAGAGAAATTTTCCTTCATATTATATTCTGCAATCTCTAAAAGATGCCAATGTAAGCCGATAGTTATCGACTCATAAGCACAAGATCTATGTACGTCGATTCAACTTGAAGAACTGTTAAGCAATCAATCAACTTGAGGATACCCATTCGATTCGTTTCCGCTAATAAATGTCAACAATTGCCCAACAGAGTTCTGCGAGCACTCATGAATTTCGCTATAAACATTCTCATTTGCTGATTATTATGCAGTTATATGGCTATACAATAAATATATATATCGTATGTTTATATATACTTATACATAGATGAATGCATTGCTTATCGGGCAATTGTTTGAGGCGACGGTTTCGATTGTTTATGGCTTTGCGACAAGTCCACGTTAAGACTTTAATGGGTTTACACCGAATTCGCAACGGTAGCGCGCAGTGCGATCAATCGTATCGTATCGTTGCGATCGTACGATCGGCTATTATATCATCGCTATATAGGGGGTTGATGGGCTCATGTAATGCGGCCCCAACTGATAAGCGACTAGAGCGACGGATCGCTCGCCCAACACCGAAGAGCTGCACTGAAACGTTCTGCTGTTGCGCATACGACGCGTAATCCGAGAAATCAATTTAATAATCGAACTGGGGGGCTTGGGGCTTGGGGTGGGGCTGCAGCCCGGCTCTGGGGTTGGGTTTGAGGTTGAGGCAGCGGTTACAGCTAACCATTCGGAACGGTAGCTGCCAGCTATTGTATCTTTTTTTTTGACAATGCTGTCAGATGAGGGCGACCGCAGCTAACCAAATGGAGAAGCAAACTACGTAAATCAAGTTGAGGTTCTCTCTTTCTCTCTCCTTCTTTCTCCTTCTCTCTCTTTCTCTTTCTGAGTCGATGTATCTAGGTATCTATGTATCCATGTATCTATATATCTATGTATCTATGTATCTATGTATCTATGTATCTATGTATCTATGTATCTAT